ATGACTCAATTAAATCTGCAGTTCTGGTCATAATGGCCAAATTAAAGCTTAACATCAAGCATCAGTTGGATGGACTGGTAGTGATGGTGGTGTTGATGTTAGGAGACGTTGGTTGCAATGCTCAATTTAGTTAGCTGTTCAGCACTGAATTACATGAGAAATCATACTTGTGCTCTTCCACTGTGCTGCTAAAACCCCTAGAATCAGGAATGGGGAAATCTTGAAATGAGTTATATAAAGCTGTATAATTGAGGAGGTGGTCAAAGTATGGGAAGGCCCATTTTCAAGACAAAAGCATTGGGAACTGGAGCCGTGCAGATTTCAATAGCTTGGGATTATTAGAGATGGAGCACTTGCCATTGGTGGAGGTGGTAGAAAAGAATACAAGCTGGAGTCTCTCCCACAACAAGCTGGAGCGCTTGGTTGGAAAACAGCATGGAGCTGCAGTCACTGAGGAAAGTCATGACAGTGAGGGGACCACAGGCTGAGTGGCAAAAGGGATAAAGAATGAGCAGAGAGAATGAAAAACTTCAGTTCAATAACAGTGAAAAAAGAAGCTTTCATTTCACATACATGAGTTATAAATCTTTTTCCAAAGATTGGACTACTCCATCGTGTCATGTATTTTGTGTGTGCGTGCCAAATCAGCAATGTTAAAGGCTCAATACAATAATGCATTTAATCATGCAGCAGCAATGATACAAGATTTTTAATACTGATATAGAATAGACCACTGTAATATAGAAGGGTACAGACCTGTGGTACACCAATTCTCTTACAAGCATCCAGGAAATTCTCCACATTTCGTCTGCATTTCGCCATAGTCAGTTTGGGCTACAACCAGAAACAAAACAAGCAAGTGCAACTCAGTTAGGGAACAGCATATGGTAGAAAGGGCAAGAGAGGATGGATAATGGATGAGGAAAAGGGAAACAAGAAATAAGGAAATTCATTACAGAATTAATCCAAAAACTCAATCAATCCTTGCAATTATAAATGCATAGGAATCAGCAAAGCAGTTGTCATCATGAACTGACCTCAATAAAGTTTGAGGTATTAGCTTAGCTTTGATCTCACGGTCGGCATCCCATTTGTAAATAGTTAGAAAAACCAAATAGAAATGTTTTACTTTGAGACAAAAAGCTTCCATAAGTATGTAAGTAAAAAGAAAATGGTGAAATTTGGAGCTTTATAGGATGAAAATGGCGAGGTAATAATGGGAAACTCAAAAGTGGCAGAAGCACTGAACCAATATTTTGTCTCGGTTTTCACAGTGGAGGATGATAATTTCTTCCCAAAAACTGCAGTTACTACAAAGGAACTTGGTGAAATTACTGCAACTAGGGAGAAGGCATTAAAGGCAGCTAAATGGGATTAAAGGCAGCTAAATCCCTGGGGCCTGATGGCCTGCATCCTAGGGTATTAAAGGAGGTGGCAGCAGAGATAGTGGATGCATTAGTTATGATTTTCCAAAATTCCCTGCACTTTAGAAAGGTACCAGTGGATTAGAAACATGCTAATGTTACACCCTTATTCAAAAAAAGGAGATAGGCAAAAAATGGGAAACCAAAGCCTAGTTAGTTTGATCTCTGCAGTGGGGAAGTTGATAGAATCAATCATAATGGAAGAGATAACTGAACACTTGAAAAAAAAAGCTCAATTCTCCAGAGTCAGAACAGCTTCATGAAAGGCAAGGCATGCTTGACAACTTGCTGGAGTTCTTTGAGGATGTAACCAGCAAAGTGGGTAACGGAGATCTGGTGAATGTGGTATACCGAGACTTCCAGAAAGCATTTGATAAGGTGCTGAATAAAAGACGAACCAGAAGGTTAGATCCTTTGGGTTAGGGATAGAATACTGGCTGACTGACAAAAAGCAGATGGTCAGGATAAATGGGTCCTTTTTTGGATGGCAAACTATAACTAGCAGGGGTGCCACAAGGTTCATTTCTGAACTACTTAAAATCTACAGAAATGATCTACAAGCAGAGACACAGCATAACATAATATTTGTGATGATACTAAAATAGTTGGGAAAGTCGTCTGTAATGAGGAAATAAAGAGTTTACAGATGGATAGCAATAGATTAGGAGAACGGGCCAGAAATTGGCAGATGGATTTTAATGTGGATAAGTACAAGGTTATCAATTTTGGCTGTAAAATTAAAAGGGCAAGTTATTATTGTTTAAATGGGAAGCAGATTCAAAATGCGTCAGTACAGAGGAATATGGGCATCTTTGTACAGGAATCGCAGGAAGAAGTTATGTAGGTGCAGCATATAACAAGAAAGGCAAATGGAATCTTGGCATTTGTTGCAAAAGGACTGGATTATAAAAGTAGTGTTGTTACAATTATATGAGGCATTGGTAAGGCCATACCTGGAGTATTGTGTCCAGTTTTGGTCTCCTTACTTGAGGAAGGAAGTGGTGGCACTGGAGGCAATTCAAAGGAGGTTCGCCAGGTTTATTCCAGGGATGAAAGGACTGTCACATGAGGAGCAGTTGAAAAGCTTGGGTTTGTACTCGCTGGAGTTCACAAGAATGCGGGGGTTTCTTACTTGCGTATATAAAATGATAAAGGGGATTGATAAGGTGGAAACTGAACAGATGCTCCCCTTGTAGGACCATCTAGAACAAGAGGTCATAGATATTGAGTGAGAGGCGGTAGGTTCAAAACTGAGAAGAAACAACTTGTATCAGAGGGTTCTAAATCTGTGGAATTCATTGTCCCAGTATGCAGTGGAGGCAGAATCAATCAACAGATTCAAGAAAGAAATAGATGTTTCTGATGAAAAGTGGGATAAAGGGCTATGGGAAGCAGGCAAGAAACTGGAGTTGACAACAGTATAAGATCACCCATGATCATGCTAAATGGCTGAGTGGACTCGAAAGGCTGAATTGCTGACTCCCACACCTAATTCCTACATTCCTGTGTTTTCACTAGAAATTCTCTAAAATAGGAATAATTTAGAATAGGAATTATTTTAAAAATGACCAGAAAAGGGGCCTTTGGATAAAAAAGCAATAGACTCAATATTAGCAACTGAAGTTAAATTAAACTTAGCTTTATTAAAATAACTGAATGTTACCTTCTGAAAATATGATGCTAGGGACTGAAATCAGTACAACTGATGCATTAACTTCAACAAAGAGCATGACTTAAAATGAGGGAAAATCTATTGACTGCAATGAAGCTACTGCACAGATTTTGAAAAACTTCCTTTTACCTCGTTCAACATGCACGCATGACTTCATAGGTACTAGAAATCATTCTGACACATTATCTAACTATCCATACATAACTAGCAAAAGTATGAACTGGATATTTGATCACACAAATGAGCTTCTTCCTATTTGGAAATCAACACACAATCCAAATACTAATTCTCTTCAATAGGAGTTACCTGGTGCACAAAAGCTGATCTCCCTCTATCCTATTCGTCCTTGACCAATGTATTCAACATAGACCTGGCAAGTTTTGTATTTTTCTGATCTTTTTGTTTTGGTAAGGTGCATTTAGCTGTTGGGTCACTGGGAATCCAGGATTTAACTTTTAAGCACAGAAGGTCAGAAGAAGAAAAATTGCATAGAATAAGTACACCAGCTAGTATGGCTACAGGACATTCTGGAGTGGGAGGGTGAACAGCCAGTGGTCATGGTATACATCAGTAGCAATGACATAGACAAAAAAAAAGGAATGAGGTCCTAAAGCCAAATATAGAGAGTAAGGAAGTGTGTTAAAAAGTAGGTACTCAACTAGTCAGAATAGAAATACCAGAGTATATCTGTTGAGTACATGGCTGGAAAGATGGTGCAAGTGGGAGGGTTTCAAATTCATGGGACATTAGGATCGGTTTTGGGGGAAGGGGAGACCAGAACAAATTGGATAGGTTACACCTGGGCACAACCGAGACTGATATCCCACAGCAAGTATTTGGAGGAGTGCTTGGGTCAGGTTTAGTGTAGAATAGCAGGGAGTTGGGAATCCAAGAAGGGAGACAAGGAAAAGAGAAATAATGATGGAAATAAAAAAATAATAAAATTCAAAACCAGTAGACACGATAATTAAGGGCGAGAGGCAAACAAGGCTACAGTACAAAGAAAAGTTATGAGGATTAGAAATGGTGAAAAGGTAATCCTAAATGCTTTCCACCTTGATGTACAAAACATTTGGAATAATAAGGGGGACAAACAGATGGCACAAATGGAGGTAAATCGATGTAGCCATTATAAAGAAATAGTTACAAGGAGATCAGAACTGGGAACTTAACATTCAGGGATATTTGACCTTTTTGAAAGACAAGAGGGAAGGAAAAGTCGATGGGACAGAACTGTTAGTAAGAGATGAAATGAGGACAGTTGTGAGAGATGATCCTAGCTCGGATGACATACAGTCCATTTTGGTGGAGGTAAATAAAGAGAGTAAAAATAAACTACCAGGGCAAAAACTAGTGAAGAATATAAAAACTGACAAGACATCTTTAAATATATAAAAAGGAAGAGAGAGGTCAAAATGAATTAGCTCCCTCAGAAAATGAATCTGGAGAAATAGTATTTTTTTCCTTCACTCATAGACCATGGGTGTCACTGGCTGGCTAACGTGTATTGCACGTCCCTCAATGCCCTTGAGGTGGTGGTGCTGAGTTGCTTTCTTGAACTGCTGCAGTCCACATGCCCTCAGGGATGGAATTCCAGGTTTTTGACCCAGCAACAGTGAAGGAATGGTGATATATTTCCAAATAAGGATGGTGAGTGGTTTGGAGGGGAACTTGCAAGTGGTAGTGTTCCCTCTTTCCGCTACTCTTGTCCTTCTAGATGGATGCAGACATTAGTTTGGAAGGTGCTGTGAGAGAATCTCTGGTGAATTTCTGCAGTGCATCTTGTAGAAAATAGACACGGCTGCAACTGAGCATCAGTGGTAGAGGGAGTGATGGTTGTGGATGTGACGCCAATCAAGCAGCTGCTTTGTCCTGGATGATGTCAAATTTCGTGAGTGTTTTTGGAGCTGCAATAATTCAGGGAAGTGGGGAGTATTCTGTTACACTCCTGACTTGTGCCTTGTAGATGGTGGACAGGTTTTGGGGAGGCAGAGGTGAGTTGCTGACCACTGTATTCCTAGTCTCTGACCTGTTTTTGTAGTCACTGTATTTATGTGGTGAGTCCAGTTGAGTTTGTAGTCAATGGTAATTCCCAGGAAGTTGATAGTGGGAATTCAGCGATGGTAACACCACAGAATGTCAAGAGTTGGCGCACAGAATGTTGGAGTATTGGAGATGGTCATTGCCTGGCATTTGAGTGGTGTGAATGTTAGTTGCCACATGTCAGCCCAAGCCTGGAAATCATCCAGATCTTGTTGCATCTGAACTTGGACCACTTCAGTATCTGTGGAATCACAAACGGCACTGAACATCATGCAGTCATCGGCGAACAGCCCCACTCTGGCTTTATGATAGAAGGAAGATCATTGACGAAGCAGCTGAAAATGCTTGGATCTAGGACACTACCCTGAAGAACTCATGCAGAAATGAGATTTAAATAAAAACCGAAAGAATTGCGAATGCTGTAAATCAGAGACAAAACCAGAAATTGCTGGAAAAGCTCCGCAAGTCTGGCAGCATAGGTGGAGAGAAATCAAAGTTAACATTTCGGGTCCAGTGATCCTTCCTCAGATTCTGAGGAATCTGATCTCACATGATTTCTGTCTGCATATCCTGCCAGACCTGCTGAGCTTTTCCTGCAGAGATGTCCTGGAACTGAGATGCCTGACCTTCAACAACCACAACCTCTTCCTCTGTAGCAAGTATGACTCCAACCAGTGAAGTTTGTCCTGGGCCCCACTGATTCCAATATAACTAGGGCTCTGTGATGCCATTCTCGGCTGAATGCTGCCTTGACGTTAAGGGCTGTCTCTCTCACCTCATCTCACCTAGAGAATTCAGCTCTTTTTTCCACGTTTGAATTAAAGCTGTAATAAGCTGAGTGGGCCTGGAGGACCACAAACTTGCCTTCAGTGAGAAGGTTAATGCTAAATGCTGAACGGGTGCTTGATCGCGCCGTTTATAACACCTTCCATCATTCCAATACTCAGCGAGAGGAGACTGATGGGAAGGTAATGGGCCTGGTTGGATTTGTCCTTTTTTTTTTGAGTACAGGGCAGTCAAGACTTGTTCCCGGGATGATGGCATCCCCCTATAAAGAGACAGTGAGCAAACTAGGCGAGTATTCTCTACAGTTTCAAAGGGCAAGAGGTGATCTCATTGAAACCTTCAAAATATTTCAAAAGCGAATGCAGATATTTCCCCTGACTGGAGAGTTAAGAATCAGGAGCTTCAATTTAAAACTAAGGGGGATGTTATTGTGGATTAAGATGAGGAGAAATTCTTTTTACTCAAAGGGAAGCACCTGTTCAGCATTCAGCATTCTCACTGAAGGCAAGACTGTGATCTGCCAGGCCCACTCAGCTTATTACAGCTTTGGTTCAAACTTGGACAAAGAGTTGAATTGGAATTCTCTGAGCCAGAGGCTGTAGAAGCTCAATCTGTCAGTGTATTTAAAGTAGAGATTGATAAATATTTGATTATCAATGCCTAAAAGGGTTTTGACAATAACATATTTAAAATGTTTTATCAACCGTGACCACGTGAAATGTCGGAACAGGCTTGACAGGCTGAATGGCCTACTCTGTTTCTATGTTCATACACCACATGGATTGCAGCTGTTCAAAGAGACGGACATCACAATCTACTTCAAGGCAATTAGGGAATAAATGCTGGCCTAGCTGGCGATATGAATAACAAAAAAATCACTTATCAATGATACCAGTGTCAGGTTGCAAGTATTACACACATCCTTCCCAAAAGGGAAATGTTCAGCATTAACATTGCAATTTTTAATAGCATCAAAACTCAGAATACTCACCACAGCTGGAGATGGCACATGTATACTGGGCACAGACCGTGGTCTCACATGATTAGCCAGATGACAGAGGACAACACCATCTGTTAGCGCTGTTCCAAGATCACTTGGGAGAGAAATCTTTAACCGTGTTTCAATGTTCTGAAAAGTCAACCGGTGAGAAATATATAACTAGTTGGTGACAGACAAATATGTTTATTGGCAGTGGAGGGGACAGCTAGATGAAGAATTGACCTTTCAGATCTTGAACTTGTGGATGAATTCAAAACAGAATTTATGGAGAGTGGAGAGGAAAAATTGGTGAGTTTCTAATCTTACGAATGATTGCCATGTCAAAATAGGATGTTATGGTTATAACAGAAACCTGGATCAAAGAATGGTAGGCTTGGGAACTAAATATTCCTGAATACAAGGTGTTCAGGAAAAACAGCAATGTTGGTTCGGGAGTACAGCATGTGCAAAACTTAGTAATGTAAAACATTAGATGTAATTCTGCAACTGGACAATATCTGCTGGATAATCTCAAGAGTGTGAAGAATTATGTTGACACTGGAGGAATTAAATGAGTAATCTGCATCTGCCTTTACAAAGGAAGAAGATAATGTGAAGTTCATGGTGAAAAAGAAAGTAGTTAAGACATTTGGAAAATTTAAAATTGATAAGGAAGTATTGGGCAGATTGCCTGTGCTTAAAAATGTATAAGATACTAGGACCAGATAAGGGGCATCCAAAGAGACTGAGGAAAGTGAGAATGGAACTTGTGGTAGTACTGGCCATTATTTTCCAGTCTTCTTTACACTGGGGAGTAGTGCTGGAGAATTGCACATGTTTGACCTCTTGTTCAAATAAGGATGTAAAGATAAGCTAAGCACCTGTAGGCCAGTCAGTTTAACTTCAGTGGGGGCAAAACTTGCAGAAACAATAATTTTAGACACAATTAGTAGTCACAAGGACAAATTTGGTTAATTAAGGAAATGGACACTGATTTGTTAAGGGAAAATTGCGTTTGAATAATTTGGAGTTTTTTGAGATCGCAGAGAAGGTTGATGTGACATACGTGAATTTCCAAAGGTATGTGATACAGTGTTACACAGCAGATGTGTGAGCAAAGTTATAGTTCATGAAATAAAATACAACAGTAGCAATGTAGATACAAAACTGGTTGAATGACAGGAAATAGAGAGCAGAAGTTCATGAGTGTCTTTCACTTCATAGTGGAAATCCCCAGGATCAGTGATAAGTCTCTTGCTCTTCATATATATTGGTGACTGAGACCTTGGTGTATTGTGCACAAATGAAAAATTTGAGTATGATAGAAAACTTGACAATTTTGTGAACTGTGAAGAGCATAGCACAGAACTTCAAACGGACATTGACAAGTTAGTGGAAGAGGTGGATATGTAACAGATAGAGTTCAATGTGGAGAAAGATGAAATGATTCATTTTGATAGAAAGAACATGGTGAGACAATGTAAAATAAAGAGTACAACTATAAATATGGTGCAAGGACAAAACTAGGTGTATATGTGAACAAGCCACTGAAGGTGGCAGGACAGGTTGAGAAAGTATACAGTAGCATGGGCTATATTAGAAGCAGCATACAGTACAACATTATCTCGGCCTCAGCAGGACTACTGCATTCAGTTCTGAGCGTCGTACATTTGGAAAGATGTGAAGACATTGAGAGGGTATAGAAACGATTCATAAGAATGATTCCAGGGATAGGGAACTTTAGTTTGCTAAGTACACGGGCAAAGTTGAGACTGTTTTTCTTGAAAAACGCAGACTGATTTGATAGGGGCCTCAAATTCTGAAGGGTCTGGACAAAATAGATAGGAGAAACTGTTGTCATGTATGAAAGAAATGAGATTTACAGGGCACAGATTTTAAGTAATCAGCGAACGGTGACATTAGGCAAAAAATTTTCACACAATGTGCAGTTAAAGACTGAAATGCACAGCTTAAGAGTGGGGTGGAGGCAAGTTCAATTGAGGCAGTAAAAAAGTAATTAGGTTGTTTTCTGAAAATGAAGAACATACAAAGTTACAAGGAAGAGGGTGGGAAATGGCATGAGATGAGTTGCTAATTCGGAAAGCCCTAGCAGACATAATGGGCAGAATTGCCTTCTTCTGAATTGTAACAATTCCGTACACTGATTGGTAAAATAATTTCAAGATGTTGCCACAGAATAAAGATACAGCAAGTTAGTAACTTCACGTTCTACAAGTAGTACATTTAATACATTCTTCATGGACTTTTTTTTAAACACTCAGTCTATGCAACAACGCTTCTGTTTTGATGAGCAAAAGAACAACTAGATAACCTTCCGTAGCTGCTGCAAGATTCTCTGTTCATCGTCACATTGCTTCTGGTTCTGCAATGTCAAGGTGTCCCCAGAGTCCTGGCTAGGGGGAACAGGGGGGGTGGAAGAATTTCCATCTAAAGATATAGAAGACAAATTTTGCATCAGAACATATTGTGACAGGAACATTCCTGTCATATGTTAGCATCATTATTGCACTTTTTTTGTTACAACCTTATTTATGATTTAGTGGAATAACATCTCGTGGTAAGATACAATCCCTACACATCAGCTGAGACCACTTTATTCTTGATAAATCAAGTAATTAAGAGTCAATCAGAAAAGAAAGTTGTGTGCTGAATAATTAGAATAAATGTACAAAGTGGCTTCTACTTCTTTTCTTCAATGTTGTCTTTCTGGAAGACACTTAGCTGCTCAAAGTGGCACAGTTTCACTATGCCAAATTCCTTGTACATCACCCAAGGAATCATTAGCATGAATCAGCAAAAAGTGGATAGATTGTAGGTGGGTCATCTGTCTAACACTTTTTAAATTCTGACATCCATAAAGATTCATTTTCAGCAGGGATTATCAAATAAGTAAAGACCTGAAGCAGAATATGAGACTATTTCCCTTCCCCGATCTGGTACACTGATGTCCGATGTACTATCCACTTTGCCTTCAGAGATCTGCTGAGATCAGCATAGCCTGGGGATCCGATGCACATAATCTTAGCCTGTTTGATTCATAAAGCTGTACTAAGCCATCAAAATTGTCAAGTTGACATATTCATCTAACTAGCTTGAATTTTTATAGTGTCTTGAACATAAAAAAAATGCCCAGACACTTCAGAGGCATTTTGAGAATGTTGGATACTGAGGTCACGAAGGTGATACGAACAGCCATGGTTCAAAGCTTGGCAGAAGAGATAGATTTATAGAAGGATCTTGAAAGGAAAAGGAGGGAAGTGGAGAGATTTAGGAAGGAAATTTGAAAATTTGAGGTTTACACAGCTCAAAGCATGCTGCCAATTGTTTCGACATATTCATAAAAGGGGAAGACATTTTAGAACACCAATAAACATTGAGTACTTGTTGCTTATATTAAGATAAACACTTATAACTATAAATAATAAAAAGTCCTGTGACTGTCAGATTCAAATCTTACAGCCAGACTAACTATTAATACATTATTTCAAGTTTAAACTCAATTTTTATCATGCTATTTTTTTAAACACTAAAATTGAGGCGACACTAAAAAGAAACAAAGTGAGTGTTTGCTTTCAGCATCTTTTCTTGTCAATGCCTATCTTCCTTGTAAGATACTGGTAGTATATTATAAATATTGTACAGCTACATAAAGATAAACACTTCAGTGACAAATCATTGTTGATAAACCCTGGTTCTAATGCCATAATTGGATAATGTTACATTCCACTTTCATGTCCAACATACCTTTTATCATCTCATCTCTTATGGTCGCTCTCAATAGGAAATTCTCAAGCCGCTGAGTATGTGTGGGCTGTTTGTAAGAGTGGGGAGAAGAACCAGGATAAGGAGGAACAGACTGGACTGCAGCCGGAGATAAGAACGTAAAAATGAGCAGAATTTAATGGCCAGTTTCAGCAAAGAGTTAATAAACAAGCAGTAGAAGCAAGAAACAGAGATAGAAATGAGAAAAACAAATATTAAAATGGGCAAAAATCAAATTAACAATACAATCATGCTGCAATATTAAGATAGTGGAAAATGATCTGGTGCAGAAAGGATGGTTTCCGCTGTTCCCGTTGTGGCCTCCTCTAGATCGGGGAAACCAAGCAGAGGCTTGGGGACCGCTTTGCGGAACACCTATGCTCAGTTCGCAACAAGCAACTACACCTCCCAGTCGCAAACCATTTCAACTCCCCCTCCTACTCCTTGGACGACATGTCCATCCTGGGCCTCCTGCATTGCCACAATGACGCCACCCGAAAGCTGCAGGAACAGCATCTCATATTTCGCTTGGGAAACCTGCAGCCCAAGGGTATCAATGTGGACTTCACAAGCTTCAAAATCTCCCCTCCCACGACCGCATCCCAAAACCAGCCCAGCTAGTCCCCGCCTCCCTAACCATTCCTCCCACCATAAGCCCCACCCCATCTCCTACCCACTAACCTCATCCCGCCTCCTTGACCTGTCTGTCCTCCCTGGACGGACCTATCCCCTCCCTAACTCCCCACCTACATTCACCTTCACTGGCTCCAACCCCGCCTTTTTGACCTGTCTGTCTCCTCTCCACCTATCTTCTCGTTTATCCATCTTCTATCCGCCTCCCCCTCTATTTCAGAATCCCCTTCCCCTTCCCCTTCCCCTCCCCCATTTCTGAAGAAGGGTCTTGACCCGAAACGTCAGCTTTCCTGCTCCTCTGATGCTGCTTGGCCTGCTGTGTTCATCCAGCTCTACACTGTGTTATCTCACAATGGTGAAAAGATAGGTTTTTTTGATTTCACTGCTAACACACCTTTTTCTGCATTCAAAATGTTAACTTGTTTCCTCCAAATGTCGACAAACCTGTTGTGCATTTGCTCGTTTTGATTTATATGTCAAACATTTTCAAGTGTTATTGTTTTTATGTAATGATGAGAGTTGGGAATATAACAGGAGACTATTTTGTGGAATAGGTTAAACATAGCAAGGTTTGTAAAGTCTGCAGCTATTTGGGACCTAGTCTGAAAGCTGATTGTACAATGTTTTCCTCTCCTTCTGTCCAGAAGGCAGTAAATTCTGGTATGCTGCTCCATAGGTACAACGTCATACATCAAGGCTGTTTTTTTTCTCCATTGGTGACTCAAAACAGGAAGTTGTGCAGGCTTTTTGACAGAAGGAATCTTCACTTGATCAGGAATAACAGGTGAACGTGACCCTTAAATCATTTGCAAGAAACATGGGATATGACAAAGGTCAGGGCTGATCTGACTTTCCTTTAAGCCAAAAATATTGATATAAATTACAGTACAGTAATTTGAGCCCAAATTCAAAAAAGCAAATTCATCGCAGATTAAGAATGGAAATCTATTTGTTATATACTTATTTGTTATATATACTTTCCCTCAGGAAGCCATTGGGAAAATCTAAATTTGTAAACTTCCATCAGTACAGTGCCATTTCGCCTACTTTCTATTTGGAGGAGTTTAACCAGCTGTTGTGAATTTCCAAAGGTAGAGGTTTGTGATTACGTTATTGGAGAGGATTCAGTGCTTTCTGAACATGAGCCACATCAGATCCATTGCACATTTTAAAAGCCACCCCATGCCATATTTTTGCTGACTGCAAAATTTCATCACATCATTGAAATCTGACCCCAGAATTAATATTTACCATGAAAGCAAAAGAACATTATTTCATTCTTTGATAAAAGGTCAAATAAACATTTCATGTCATCACCTAGAGAAATACAATATGCACAAACAAATAACACAGATGGAGCATGTTACAATTTCTTTTTACAATTAGCTGCCTCTTACCCATATTGACAGGTGATTGGGTGACAGAAGCACATGGTGACACAGGCTGTCTTTCTTCATTCTACAAGAAAGAAAATCAAGATCCTTTACAGTAGCAGATAAGCTACCCTTGAGAATTAGAAATAAGAAACGTGAAGCAAATTCTCAAATGTAGTTTGTTTCAGAACAGCAAAACATAAGGGGGAATCATCTTTCTGTAATATATCTTGCTTCCTCTTCAAGGCCAAAGCACATGAATATCTTTTTCTGTTCCTTCAGGCCAAAGTAATCGGTAAAGTTATCAACAAGGGATCATTAAAAATTGTAGAAATTTTTGAATTAGTTAAATATCACAGTTCAGTTAGAAAAACAATGAAGTAAGACAGGGAAGACAATCTGTAAGGGTCTTTAAGAAGATCAATTTTGTCTCACTTCAAAAGCTGAATCAAAGCTGATCTGTGAATGTAATATAATTGAAATTCCAGTCGAATTAGAATTGAGTCAATTACAAAGTCACTTTTATTACATAAGCCATCAGACCACACGAGCAAATATATAGTAGTCTTGGTAAGACACTGAAAGAATAGTGTGAATGCTGAAATTTTTCCACAGAAAACTCAACCCATGCTTTTGTACATCATAATTCTTTTATGTAGATATACGAGTGGTATAACAGTAAAGCATTCAAACCAGGCTAGCCTTAGATTTTATCCTCATGTGCTAAGCAACTTGGACTGGAGGAGTAAAGGGTCAGCCAGGTTTCTCACTTATAAGTGCTGGGCAAAAGGTACACATATCGGGTGGGCAAGAGAAAATAAGGGCTCTGTAAAGGCAATTAGAGTCGAATAAGAATCACTGGGCAGGTTCACATTCAAAGAATAGACACTTGACTCAGGTATTTTAAACAAGCATCAGAACCCTAAGAACGAACTTTAAGTTGGTACATTAAGAAGAATAAGGAAATTGTGTCAGAAAATACCAACCGCACTCTGCTGCGTGCAAACTGTGCCAATTCCTACCCAAACTTCCATCACTGCCCAAAAGTGAAAACACTATGACATCTCGAAATGCTTCTCCAACGGAGACTGATTTACAGTAAAGGTGAAAGATCTTTTGACTTGTGCAGCTCAATAATGCATATCTTTACTTAGGTCTCAAAGACACTGCTACTTAGTTCGGTCTCAAATACAGACTTTTCATTTTCTTGAAAGGATATTCCACTTCAGTTTATAACAGATAATTAAAATAGTTAAATATCCTTGAGAAGTAGATTTTGTGGAATATTAAGGCCCATAGTGAGCAACAACGTGGCAACAGCTACTTTGCTATGAACTGAAATGATAATATGCAGGTTTGAAGCTATTGGCATTGAGCAATGTCAGTGAGGAATTCCTAAGCATCTGATGACAATATTGAAAAACCATAATCATGTAATTAGGTAAAATGCTTATGTGGGGACAGGATTCAATAGGGAGAAGCTATGGGATGGGACCAAGACCAGAACCCGCAGGTAGAAGAACTCAGAGTAACAATTAAGCAAAAAAAGCTATTTGTGATTACTGAGGGCTCAAGAGAACTGACTCCCTGGTAAGAGGAAAAAAGTGCAGGGAATATATAAAAACCAACAGAGCAACTCGGGAAAAGGTAGGGCCCATTAGGGACCATGGATGAAATCTCTGTGTGGACAAGGAAGATGTGGGCACAATCCTTAGTGAATACTGTGTGTTGGTCCTCATAATGGAAAAGACAAATACAGGTACAGACAACAGGGTGGAGGTCTGTGAAACATTAAAAGAAATTAACAGAAAGAGGAGTTACTCACAGGTTCAGCAGCCTTAAAAGTGAAAATATCTGCAGGGTTAGATGAGATGCATCCCAGGCTGCTGTGTGAGGGAAGAGAGAAGATATCAGGGGCCCTGGGAGCAATTTTCAAATCCTCTCTGGCCATAGGTGAGGTGCCAGAGGACTGGAGAGCTGCCAACATTGTCATTTATTCAAGAAAGAAGAAAAGGATACACAAGGAAATTACAGGCTAGTCAGTCTAACCATGGTGGAGGAAAAGTTATTAGAAAGCGTTCTGAGAAACAGAATATATCCGCACTTGGAAAGATGTGGATTAATCGAGGGCAGTCTGTATGCATTTCTTAAGACAAGGTTGTGTCTGACAAATCTAACAACTTTTTGAGGAAACAGGAGTGTTGATGAGGGTAATGCATTTGATGTTGTCAACATGGAATTTTGCAAGACTTTTGGTAAGGGCCATCATGACAGACTGACTGAAGTAAGAGCCCATGGCATGCAAAGCAAAGAGGCACATTGGGTTAAAAAAAAAATGGCTGATGAATTAAGCAGAGAGTGATGTTAGAAGGATGTTTCAGTGACTACAAGTCAGAACTTCCAGTGGGTTTCATAGGATTTGGTGCTGATGCCCTTGCTGTTTGTGGTGATTAATTATTGATTTAGATGTAGGAGGTCTGATTAAGAAGTTTATGAGTGACAGGAAAATTGGTAGGGTGGTGAATAGTGAGAACAATCGACACATACTGCAGGAGGTTATCAATGAACTGGTCAGATAGGCGCAACAGCGACAAATGGAAATGGAATTTAATCTGGAAAAAATGTAAGGTAACGCACTTAGAGAGGGCTAATGAGGAAAGGAATTTAATTGGGAGTAGTAGGACCCTGGAAAGTTCTGAAGTCCAGAAGGACCTCCATGTGCATATCCATAGATCCCTGAAGGTCACAGGCCAGACAAGGTGTCTAAGAAGGCAGAGATTACAAGAGAAAGTTTATGCTGAAAATGTATAAAACTCTCATGAGATTAGCCCACAACTAGTGCATTGCTTTCAGTTCTGATCACGACATTATAGGAAGGCTGTGACTGCACTAGGTGGGTGCAGAGGACTTTGCTAGGATGCTGCCTAGGCTGCAGATTCGGAGCTACGCGGAAAGTTTTGATAGGCTAGAATTGTTTCTTTGAAACAGCAAAGGAGACTCAATAGAGCTGTGTAAGATAATGAGGGGTATAGAAGGGTAGATAAGATGGTACCTTTTCCAGAAGTAGAGAACTGAATACCAGGGCCATAAACTTAAAGTAAGAGGCAGAAGGCTACAAGGAGAGTTGAACAGAAATTATTTCACTGAGAGTAGTGGGAGTCTAAAACTCACTGCCTGAAAGAATAGTTGGGTCAGCCGTAACGTTTAAGACGTATGCAGATATTTACTTGTCTTTTCATTGCCTCTAGGTTATGGGCCTAAGGGCCTCCTTGTGCTGTAAACATCTGAATCAATTAATTAAATTCCCTTAATGACATCTACAAGGCCCTTAAATAAGACTTTGATGTAACATCTCTTAATTGAGGTAAAATATATGGATATTGACAATGTCTATGTTAAATGATATCTTTGGATTAACATGGTCTAGGTCAATCCATAATTTTTTTAAGGAGCATTTAAATAGGTTAGGCATTCTACAAATAATGTAATTGCGAATAATTATCGAAGAAACACACAAGTAAAAAGTTAATCAGTAATAAAATGACAGTTTTTTTTTTCAACTAAGATGATAAGGTGAAAGGCCAAAACTCTTCAAGTAAGACTTCTGCAAATTAAAAGACATTGGCAGGAAGATTAAACAAATCATTTAGCTATGTTTTGGAGTAGATCTGTTAGCTACGTTTACAGAATAGCAAACTTCATCTTTAAAACCCTCTAGCAAGAAGGAAAGATAAAGGAATTGTATTTTTGGGCGATTTACACAATCACAAGTTTTCTTCAAATATCAAACAGAAAGACATTCCCCCACACTATTATATGCTAATGTTCCATCTCAAATTAAGAAACAAACAGCTTTTAAAATGTTTTTAAACTAAAGGCATGAACAAACATACTCAAAATAAGCATGTGCATCAGATAATTTTCATCCAAACCATAACCTGACTATAGTTGTGCTAGAACTGAATGAACTACATTCTGCTTGCTTAAAATAGAGGCAACTTCAGAATGATCATTTTCAGAGAACAGGCTTTGCGCCTAAACATCAAATAGTTTTGAAGCAAAGTGTTTCAGTATTTTATTACAAATGGACAATAATGTGTTGAAATCAAGAGTCAGCTTCTTCAGCTTATTTGTCTGACGTCCCATGTGGAATACTTTGGTTGCCTTCCACATACTAGGTAGATATTTGAAATTCAACTACATCATCAATCACTTATTTTCATTTGTGTCCTTTTCTTGCTTCTTTCAAATTTGGTTGTGCAGACTTGGCTCCTCACTTGGGGTTTCTCGATAAATGTAATGAAGATAAACTGATTATTTGGATCAAGGCTCCATTATAACCAAAATGGATGAATGATACAATTATTTTTGATTGTTTTTATTTTTGAATTGAATATCCTTTCCCTGGTTTCATGTTGTTATCATTGTCAACATCCATTGGCTTTTTTCCAGACTTTCATTCCACATCCTTTTCTCTCTCATTCTGCCATCCATTCACCATCAAGATAGCTATCAACATAAAACTGATGAGCTGCTTGATTAATAACCAACAAACAATTTGTTGATTAACTACTGGCTGCAAAAATTACACTGTGGCAAATTGACTGTAGCAGTATTTCTTGCCACTAAGTTGACACTCTTCAGTCAATTCGAGCTGCCACAAGTGGGTCAGATTGTAAACAACTTACTGTTGAAGCAAATGAACTCAAGTGGTAGAAAGACCTTTAATTACTTCGTTAACTAGAAGATAGCTGTGCTCCACATAAGAGCACAAATATAATAAACCAACATCGATTATCATTCGCTCAAGATTCTGGCCTTTTTCAAAGGTAACTTCTAAACTTCAATTCCAAGAATGGAAGTTAATTCTTTCTGAAACATAGCAATTTTTAAAACTATTTCTTACTCTTTATGCTTTATACTAACTTGGTTTTACAGAAAATGCAACTTCGAAAGTTTTTTTAAACCATACATCTTTTTCCAACTACATGGCTGTAATCAACAGTAACTAAACAAATTTGTTTCAAGAAAACATTAGTGAGTTCGTTGGAAGCAGAGAACAAAACTGCTATATGTTAAAACACG